AAATCGGCTCCCATAGGCTCATATGTTTGAATATTTGATCCTCATTTGGTAGAACTGGCTGGGTGGTGGTGGTACCTTTAATCCCAGCACTTGGGAGGCAGAGGCAGGTGGATTTCTGTGAGTTCAAGGCCAGCCTAGTCTACAGAGTGAGATCCAGGACAGGCACCAAAAACTACACAGAGAAACCCTATCTCGAAAAAACCAAAAAACAAAACAAACAAAAAAACCATGGCTGTTGGGGTTGGGGATTTAGCTCAGTGGTAGAGCGCTTGCCTAGCAAGCACAAGGCCCTGGGTTTAGTCCTCAGCTCTGAAAAAAAAAAAAACCCCACGGCTGTTGTTTTTATATCTGCTGCACAGCGGCTGCGCCTGAAGCTCCTGCTGCCTTAGCCTTAGCCGCTGACTACACTTTGCAGCCACAGCCTCTGCCTTGCTGCTGAGGCTGAGGCTGCAGCCCAGGGAGCCTGCGAGTCTCTCTGAAGCTACCTCTGCCGCTGCCTCAGCCGCCTCCTTGTAGGGAGGCAAATGTTGTTTCTGACTAAGTCTCTATCCTTTTATTTTACCAATAAAGACTTGGGAGCCAGATGCTGGGGTGAAAACCTGCTAGCTCAGAGAGGCAGAGAAAGCAGCGGGGTGACCTTCCTCCTCTACCTTTGTGTCAGAAGGAAAAGCTCTGTTCTAAGCCCTCTGAAACAAAAGTTCCTCCATCCAGCTGTCCCTCCCTTCTACTTCCTGTGCTTCTCTCCCTGACCTCTCAACTTCCCCTCTCTATGGTTACTTCAGGTCAACTGGTTGCTTGCTCCACCTCTTGACCTATGGTTGACTTTATGTACATAATGCAACCTCAGGGTTCACACTGTGACCAAATAACCTGCAGTCCATAGCAAAGGGAAGAACTGATTCTGCAAGTTGTCCTCTGACTTCCAAGCATGCTGTGGAATACACACAGACAGACAGACAGACGGACAGGGACACATACACACACATGCAGACACAGTATAAACAAAAATGTTTTTTTTTTTCAAGACAGGGTTTCTCTGTGTAGCTTTGCGCCTTTCCTGGGACTCACTTGGTAGCCCAGGCTGGCCTCAAACTCACAGAGATCTGCCTGGC